TGAATATTTTGGAACAGTCCAATTCAAGGTCTGGATTGTCCAATTTGTTCAAATTTGTTTTAATTTAAATTAATTCTAACCCATACCTGGTCTATTGACACATATATTCTTATCTTCTATAAGTGGACTAGATATTGGCTCAATCCAACCCAATCCAATATAAATTCATTACGAATGGATTAGGTCCAATCCAATCCAATAAATACTTTGGTATGTCCAATCTGTCTAAATTGATTTTGGTTTGGACGGGTTCAATCCCAAACTGGTTTATTGATTCCTCTACCTGGGAGATAGGTATCACTTACCCAAGTAAATGATACCCAAGAAAATAATCTTTTCTTGGTCCCCATGTAAATAACAAAAAAAGTATATGGGTTTTTTGGTTAATGGGATTCACAAATCAATTGACCAACTTTCCCCTCTTTCAAAATAAAAAAAAAGGAACGCCCCGCATAATAAGATTAGAGATCTACTCTCCCCAATGCTTTTAAATGTATCTGTGTTTGTGTCTTTTCACATTAAGTGGTTTGGTAATTCTATTGGCGAGAGTGATTAGAATAAACAAAAAATATAAAAAAATAGTGTTTTAGATTATTCGATTAAAAATATGTAAACAAATGATTAATAAGTAATTTGACTAGGATAGGTCAACGACTGCATTTTTATATATTAATGACCCAATTCATTATTTGTAAATAGAAGGAGATAATTGTTTGCATTTTTGCATCAGAATGCAAATTAGGATAAGAAACTTGGGCTCAGTTTGACAAGAGTATGAATACAATGCAAATACATACAAAATAATACAAAATATAAGGTTTTGCATTCTACATATTTGTATTTGTACTCCTTCCAAACTAAGCCTTTGGGATCAATGTTTGAGATGGCTTGGCTGTTTTAATTGAGTGAATTACCAGATATAAATTGTCAATTAACCTTGGAAAAATTGGACTCCCTCTTCAAAGTCATATGCACAATTCAAAATTTTGATATGGTACATTCTGTATTGAATGTATTGGATCATATTAGAAGCTTCAAGATATGTATATTTTAAGGATTTTTTCAAAAACTTCTTTTAATGTTGGATAACATTAAGATGCCCCCTTTAAAAATGGGAGAAAATTTTTAAAAATAGATTTTCATTCACCCAAAACACCCGATGCACATGTTTGTGCATAGATTTATCAGTACTTTGAATCATGGTCCTAGGAGCTTAATAAGCTCCATCTTTCCAAACTGAGCCCTAAGTTTATTTTATTTGTTTGAGAAGAGAAACGAGGGGTCCCAACCAAGGTAGGATCAAGTAAGGTGGTGCATTTTTTTTTTTAATTTTAATTTGGAAACTCTAAAGTCGATTCCATTTAACAAAAGATGGATTACATCATAAATGCAAATTTGTAACAATTCCGACCAAAGAAAAAATGCATGTTTGTACCACCTGTAGGTAAGGTGGTTAGGCTACATGAGAGTGGTCTCCTTGAAAAGTAAAGGAAGACCAGAGGTAGGAAGTAAGGTTGAAGGCTAGGGTAAATGGTAAGGTGATCATAAGGCCGAATGAGTAATGGGATGATCGAATGAATGGCGTCGTCATGAGATGGGTTCTCATTTATAGGGAGAGATCCCGAGGTCCCAAAAGGAAGAAGCTAGAAGTGTTCGATTCCCACTAGAAAATGAAATATTGGATTTGTTGTCAGTAATTAAGGAGCACTGCTAGGTTTTCGCCACATATCTTATGATATCTCTAAAGGACGAATTTTTCTTTTGTTCAAGGATTCTCATAATTCGCGTGTTGTGCTACTTCCCTTCGTGATCTATTTAACCAACGTGGCACGAGTGACATCATCGTTTTGCGGGTGTGTTCTTATTAAACTCACGTGGCGTCTTATCACGCACATAATTTAAAGCCACACGTGTAACCAATGTTCATTCCCAGTCTATAGTGATTCCACGGTTTTGTAATGATCTTAGATTCATTGTAACTCTGTGCGCATTCGAGGTTCATCGCATATTCGTGCGTGTCTAGAGTTCATCACAGATTTATATTAGCCAAGGTTTTTTGCAAACTGTTTCGAGTACTGGTTTATCACAGTCATGTGATGAATTATAAACTCATCGCAAACGTTCAATGAGTTATGAATTCATCGCAAGCGTCCATGTGGTATTAATTCACTATCCTCTGCACTCTAATGGTATGAGTGATCACTATGTGCCTACACCACCAATAAATGAAAATGAGATACATTTTATATTAGAGGTTTTTACTGTTCAGTCCACCCCTAGAAATCTTATCTCCACCGTACAATTGGGGCCGGTAGGTACCAGCTCGGAATTGATGCCAATTCACGAGTGGGTATGGGTGTTATAGGTGGAGGTGTTTATAATTTTGAATTATTGTAGGTCTATAATTCTAAGGTGGAGCGCAATCAACTTATTTATATTATTGATCAATATGTAAATGCTTAAACCTTGTGCATAAAATAGATGCTATTTGAGAGGCCTATGCTCCTATTCCAACTGAACTCCAATAGCACTTTCCCTTGTGAGTCTGGATCTCTTGCAAGCAAAAATTCTATGTACATAGCATCCAGCTACACTCAAGAATATTTTCTATTCACCTATGTGAAATTTATAAAGATATGTTCCCAATGTGCAGTTAAATGTCCATACCTTCAGAATGTGCGGAGTTTTTTCTAATAGGAGATTCCACACTTACCCTGCATGATAACACTGTTATTGTTGTAGTGCTCCTTAACACAATCATTGCTATAAAAAATGCAACTTTACTCGATATAATTACTTTGGAACCCACTAAACATAGCATATATCATGGAAATCCCACTTAAAAAAAAAAAAAAAAAACATTCAAATTAACAAAGCCTCCTCTAATCAAATCCTTTCTATTTTCCACATTGTAAAGCATAATTAGCGTTATCACTTTAAAAAAATGAATGCATGACTTTGTATAGGGTCAACATAGATTGAGACCCTAACATATGCTAATTCTAAGGCCCCCATGTGATGCATGGTTTATACCATGTGTGGCATGCTTATTTGGTTAGGGACCCAAAAATATTCCACATGTCCCCCTTTTGTTTTGTATACATGTGATCATGGGTTAAAGTATCGATCGAACGTCTATGATACTCAACTTTTGTGTTTCACGTGGTTGAAATGAGTGATATTCATAGATTAAGATTGTTTCAGCTGTTTTCAAGCTTTGAACTAGGCCATCTCTAGTATGGCCATATAGCCTAAGTCCTAGTATTTAGGGTTTTTATTGGCATCAATATTGGTTTAAACCATGCATGTGATGTGGCTTTGGCCCCCTTAGGGGCAGGGAGGTCCTATCTCTAGACCTATTTAGCAGGGTCAAAGCCTCAAAGGTTACTTTAGGAGGAACATATGCATGGGTCCATTGGAGAGAGCCTACCCATTCCATAGTTTTGATTTCCCTCAAACGGAGGAGAAAAGCTCCAATTTAAGGTCCTCTGATGTAATTGTCAAACTGGATGGTCTCTTATCCCAGGTGATTTGGGTTGGGCATATCAATTCTCCACATGGTACATATGAGAGGTATTATCCAACGAAATAGGCCAATTATCTCGTTTTGGTGACTAGTTCCATGACCAATCAGATAAAGTTAAGAAAAAACCCAAATGCAAAATTTCATAAGGGTTTGTGGTGTTGAGAGAGGATTTGGACCTTTAGATTGGACTTACAACAATCTTTGGGGAAATGCATGCAGCTCAGTTTGTTGCACAGGCGGCAAACTAGCTCTGTTGTGTATAGGAGTGTAAACAGGATTGAATTCAAATCAAATCAGACAATATCAAAATTTAAATTTAATTATAAAATTTAATACCCGAATTCAATTAATTGAATATCATTGAATTCTGCCAAATAGTTATTTTAGGTAATTAAAAAATATGTAAAATAAATATTTTATTTATATAAAGTATATAAATATATAAATTATTTATATAATTTAATTATTATTATTATATATGTATAAATTATATAAAATATTTAAGTATTTTATATAATTTGGATATTTATTGAATCGAATTAGGTCATATCAAAATTCGATCGATTACGATATTCAAATTATTCGAATTTGATTCGATATATCAAATCTCCAATTCGAAATCAGATTTTCGAATACCGTTACACCCCAACTTATGTAATCCTGTGAAACCAAAATAAAAAATAAAAAAGATTAAGAAAAATATATTCACGGTTTACTTGTGATTATTTACATATAGCCCGTTATACACGCATGTATTTGCATCAGATCTCGACACCTACAACCTATTCATGCAACAAATATATATTGAAACTATGCAAAGATAATAATACTTGGACAATAAAGGTGGGGGTATTGAACTAAAATGGGCTAAGAAGAGTGACAACAGTTGCAGTTTAAAGTAGATGTGGTAGAAGCCCAATTGACCTAATTAGAAAACCCATTTCCATACAAGATTAATACATTTTTTTAAGGCCTTTGAAAGAGCTATGTCTCCTAACCATCTTATTTTAATTCCAGAGTTATGCTTATAAAAAAGAAAAATCTACTCAAACAGAGTTTCAAAGAGAAAATCCAGACGACCAAATCATCCATCAATCAAGAATACCCCTGTCCATTTCATTATTGAATTTTTTAGAGGACCTGCTGCTTCTTCCTTGTAACCCTCCCGTCCAAGACGCAACCGCGTTTGCCCTGTATCCACGTCGACATGAGGATACAATGTTCACTAAGTATTGTAAACAAGATCTCTCTCTCTCTCTCTCTCCCATATGTTCAGAAGTAACAGACAGATAAAAACGCGGAAATACCAAGTCAAGAAGAGGCTCATCTCGTATACGGTATATCATGCACTGGTCTTCACTAGGAAAAGTGGACTTCTGTTGGTGGGTCCCTAAGGCCAAGAGTCGCTCTTTAGCACGTTAGTCCACAGAGCTCCATAGAAAGCTTGATCAGGAGACAGTTTCACGGCCAATTCAGTACTTATAAGACCAACCCCAGTTCAAATTCTCCCACCCAAATCAAACTTCTCTCTCCCACTCAGAGGTAGAAAGCAAAATGGAAATGGAAACTGAACTGTAAGTTATTCCTTAATTTTCTCCTTCTTCTGCACTTGAGACCCATTTGATGTAATCAGTTTTCTAACTTCTTTTTCTGTTTCCATGACTGACGATGGCAGGTTTGAGACCAGTGAGATGCTAGCAGTTTTTCTGGCTTCAACTCCTGTGCTCTCTGAGTCATGGAGGCTCTGCAGCCATGCGAATGCTACAGCTCCCGGAGGTTTCATTGTCAACCAGATTGGAGACGTGGGTTACATTGCTTTCTCTGGGATACAGGTGATTAGTGGGTTGAATCCCAACGGGAATAACTTGGTGCTGTTGAATGGCACCAGCTCTGGGCTTTCATTCTCGCCGCGTGAAGTCGATGACAGTGAAGAGCCACCAATGGTTCATTCTGGGTTCCTTCATATCTTCCATTCTATCTACAACAACCCATGTTTCCAAAATCAGGTCCAATTCTAATCTTTCTCGTTCTTTCAAGTTTCAGCTTCTCCTAGAATTATGAGTTCTGGTTTCCAGCTGCATTTATATCGATGGCAAACCAGCTCCATTGTAGGTTGCTTGATTAGCTTCCCTGTAAGCAAGTCTGATCTTCTGTATGTTCAGGGGAGCCATTGGAATAGTTTCCAGCTTCAAAATTGGTTCATTCCCACCTTCAGAAGGAACCCATATAGATGGAAGAAAGAAGCTAGATTGGACCGGCTGTGATCATCCAATCCGCTATCAATCCTACCCATGGCCTATCAGAAATTTAAAACGCAGAAATCTCCTTTTCCTTTCTGCTAATGTCCCACGATAAAGAGTTGCTGATGACTTGTTGCTTTCAAGTTTCAACGCAATCTCTGGTTTCACTTCAAATCCCAAGCTTATTAATTAGATCTCCAAAAGCCAGTTTCCAGACCAAGCCATAAGGCCAGATTGAGTATAAAGTATAAACAATTCTTTATGTGGGCCACATAGTTGACTGTTGACTTTCAAAAAGTCACCCTGAACCCTGGTACACATCTTTGCCATTTATTTATTCCCAATCTGGGAAATTTTGTGTAATTTGACTACACGATTCCATGGACCCGACCCGGTTCCTGGTTATTTTATGTAGAGGTGTTCATAAAAACTGAAAAACCTGGAAAATCGAACCGAATCGAAAAATGCAGTTAATCATTGTTATATATGTTTTTATGTATTATATGATTTATAATATTATATATATATATTTATATATTTATTTATAATATATATATATATATATTATAAATATAAAAAAAATAAAAATCAAAGAACTGGACTAGTAAAAGAACCAAAACCGAGGTTAATCGATGGTATCAGTTTAGTTTTTCAGTTCAAGAAATTACAAAAATCAATTATATCGATTCGGTTTAAAAAATATGCCCACAAGTCAGTTAATCAAACTGTGATCACCCCTGATTTTAAGTCTAATTCATCATCATCTAAGCCTTGTCTCAATTATAAAAGTCAATCACATGAATCTTGTTTCATCATTCGATTCCTAAATCAAAATTCATGATCATGAGAGTTTGACAAAAGTTTTAGTATCGGCCGACTAATTTGAAAAACTCCCTTCTTAATTCAGACTTTGAGACTGACAGTGTAGGATAATCTAAAAGGCTGATGGAGTTTCATTTGTCTCTGACCCAATATTATCAAATTAATTGTACAAATAAATTAGTTGTATCCTGATTTATCAATATGACAGTTTTGACCATCCAAAACTCAATATCATGGTTTTTAAAACCGACCTGGAGATCAAACTGATCAGGGGTCTGGTTACTGGGTTGAACGGTCTGACCTTTTGAACCAAACGGTTGACCCATTCTAACAAAAAAATAATAAAAAACAGTCAAAACCGTTCAAATGGTTCGAACAATTAATAGCTCGGGTCAACAGTTTGCTGACAAAAATCAACGGTTTTTGAAGAAAATTTGATTTTGGAGAAAACCGAAACCGGTCACCTAACCGGTTCCCAGTTTTTCCAATCCTACCGTCTGACAATATTGTTATTCTTGATTCTTGACAATGAGACCATCAAAACCCGGAACTGGCAGCTAAAATGGTTTTTAAACTCCTTGGTACTTGGAAATATTGCTGGTTCAGCCAAACCTAGTTTAAGTACAGGTGTTAATACATATTATAACTTATAATATTTAGACTCTAACTAATGTTTTACACTGAATAATAAAAAGTTTACACTGGTTCATTTCTTGCTTTAGGGTACAGTTTGTTAATATTTATTATTTTAAGTTTATTTTTATATAAAATAGCTTCAAGATAATCAGAAATCATTGCTATTTTGTTAATTTTTTTAACATTTTTATTTGAGTGAATCCAATGGTAAACTAGGCAATCGGACTTTTCGACCCGCCGGGTCTGAATCTGGTAGTTCTCTTCACTTTAATTCAAAATAAAAGAAAAAAAAAAAAGATTAAGGATCCATGAATGAAGACTTAACTAGATATTAGGAAACAAAAGGAAACGCGTTTAATGGTAGTTAGAGAATTTGGAGATGCAATATTGCACTGGTGGGTGCAATAATTTGTTAGGACTCCAATCCATATGAGAGGTTTTGACAACATTGATTGTGCTTGGCTTCAATGCCACATTTAAAAGGAGTCCAAGTTCAAAAGGGTGATCCAATTTTCACTTGGTCAAAGAAAGAGCTGATGATAGTCTGCACTAGGTTGGTATGGGCATGATGGACGGCCCTCTAAGCTTATCTTGATCCTTGACTCAGTCAATCCATTCTTTTGAATGGCTGGTGAGTGGTGGTTGAGATTAAATAGTGCTTGCATTAACCTTAGCTTTGACCAGGGGATGATATGATAATTTTATTCAAGGAGAGTACAGAATAAAACAAAAAGGAAAGTTCTTTTGTTTGGTAAGAAAATTATTCCATTAATGGTTTCACACTAGTGTCTCTCCTTCCATTATAGCACTTAAAAAATATATCACCTTATCTAGATGGTTGCACTGTTAAATTGTTTGATCAACAAAAAGAAAAATAAGGTATATGGGTCAGAATTTGATTTCAGAGAAAGCAGCAGTCAGAAAATTGAGTAGTCCAGCACCATATTAACTAATGCTGGATAGAACCAAACAACAATTTAGGGTAATGGCCTGGTTTAGTCTTGGTGACAGACTTGATTTTGCATCCAACTACCAAAACAACAACTAAATATGTTTGAAAGCACATGAGTGATTCAATTTTTGTTGTATATCAATGGGTAAAGGTTTTTCTTTTCTTTCTAGGAAGCCCACTAATTCTGTTGTAGGGAAGTTATTGTGGAAGAACACTCCTCCAGGCTGCCAGGGCATGAGCCTGAGATAGTAGAGTAGGTTCATCTTGTTCTAGTTTAGATATCAGTTAATGGATTAACTGGTGCAGCCATCTGGGTCTTTGCAACAAAAGCTGAATTCTACCATTCACCAAAACACCAATGACACAACCTACCCTCCGAATCCTATCAAGTGGGATATGACCCTGAGAATGATGGGAACAATCTAATTCATTAACTATTTTAGTGTTACTAATATATGGGATTGGTGAATATGAATATCAAATATGCTTTCACAGATGTTGCCTATTGTAAACCAGTTTCAAAACTGAATTTAGTGTTTGCATATGCCTATATGCAGATATCTATGCTAATGCAGAACAGCAAATCATTGATAGTCACAGGCCACTCAGTTGGAGGAGCAACAGCCTCTCTAGCAACCCTTTGGTTGCTCTCTTATCTGCAGTCTCTCTCCTCTTCCTTTTCAGTCCTCTGCATCACTTTTGGTTCTCCATTATTGGGTAATGAGTCTCTGTCAAAAACAATCCTCAGAGAAAGATGGGGAGGCAAATTCTGCCATGTTGTTTTGAAGAATGATATTGTCCCCAGGTTACTCTTTGCTCCACTGGACTCTATAGCTACACAACTGAATCATATACTACAGTTCTGGCACTTGTCCATGACACCACAGTATGGACACCTTGTATCTGGATTGTCCAGTGAAGAGAAAACTGAGTTTTATCATTACATATTGAATCATACTGCAGCTTATGCGGCTCAGAAAGATGGCTCAAAGAGGTGTTCATATTGGCCATTTGGGAGTTACCTCTTCTTCTCCGGAGAAGGAGCAGTTTGTATAGAAAATGCAACATCTGTTATCCAAATGTTGTACTTGATGTTTACAACAGGTTCAGCAAACTCTTGCATTGATGATCATCTCAAGTATGGTGATGTTGCAGCAAAAGTCTCACAACTTCTTCTGATGAGAAGAAGCTTCACACAAGGGATTCTTCCTGAGTCAGGCTATGAAGCTGGGATTTCATTGGCAATTGAGGCCTCAGGAATAGCACCCCAGGTAATAAAACAATTGGATAATCGCAACCATCTCAATTAGCTAATTTTTGGAAGTTGATATTCTTTTGAGAAAAAGGGCCCATAATAACCTGATTAGGAGCTATAGGCCTAATTAGTCCATCAATGAATTTGGTGATGACTCTTTGTGCTTAATGGTTGGCTTGTTTTTTCTGATCTTTTCTTCCTTTTCCTTTTAAATAACCTACAGGATACAGTTGTAAATCCAGCTAGAGAGTGCCTAAAGATGGCGAAGCAGATGGGTCGTAAGCCAAACCTAAATAGTGCTAGCCTCGCAATCGGTCTAGCCAAGGTAACGCCTTATAGAGCTCAAATTGAGTGGTACAAGGAAACTTGTGACAATTCTGAGGATCAAATGGGCTACTATGACTCCTTCAAGCTCAGGGGAGCTTCTAAAAAGGACTCTCAAGTTAACATGAACAGGTTCAAGCTTGCTGTATTCTGGAATAATGTAATTCGCATGTTAGAGACCAATCAGCTCCCCCATGATTTTCACAGGAGAGCCAAGTGGGTAAATGCATCCCAGTTCTACAAACTACTTGTTGAACCTCTGGATATAGCTGAATATTACAGGACTGGAATGCACAAAACTAAAGGCCATTATCTGACTCATGGAAGAGAGAGGAGATATGAGATCTTTGATAGATGGTGGAGAGGTAGAGAAGATGTCAGTGAAGACAATAACAGCAGGACCAGGTTTGCAAGTCTGACTCAAGATTCATGCTTTTGGGCAAGGGTGGAAATGGCCAAGGAGTGGATGCAGAATGCTAAGGGTGAGACTGATCCACACAAGTTGGCCCCTCTCTGGGAAAGCATGAACAGGTTTGAATTGTATGCTAGTCAGTTGGTTGAGAAAAAGGAGGTCTCTAAGGATGTTGTGGCAAAGAATTCAAGCTATAGTTTGTGGTTGGAAGAATGGAAAGAGTTCAAATCACAATTGTTGCAAATTCCTGGTAGGTTGTGACCTGGTCCCTAATGGTCATTAGGATTACTGAGGAAGAAGGCAGAGTGGAGACTAATTCATCAAGCTTCCTTTTTCAATGGCCCTCTTATTTCCATTTAAAGAAAGCAAAATAAAAAGCTAGTTATAGGCATTTGTTTCCTTTCTTTCTGCCTCTTTCTTAGTTTTCCTTATTCCATTGTTTAGGCGGTGTTTGGGAGTGCTTAACCCCATACCTTAAAAATTATCAAGAAGCAGTTGTAAATGGATAAGCACAAGTAGAAAAAGCAGACGAATCTGGGTTTTGAAAGTAATCGGGACATGCTAGTCATTTTGAAGGGGGGGGGGGGGATTTAGACATTTAAGATCCGATCCGAGTATCTGATCGGATCTGATAGGACTAAAAATACAAGTATTTTTTAATTATTTTCATCATATATATATGTTTTTTATACAAAAATAAATAATATAATAAATTTATAAAAATACAATACAAATAATATATTTATAAATAAATAAATAAATAACATATATATTATATATATTTATAAATATATAACACATTGGATCAAATCTTCTCATATTAGATAGGGGTGATCCAAATCTGATCCAATTTTTGATCGGATGATAAGATCCTGATCTGATTAAAAGGTGATCTGAATTCGATCAAATAGGATTTGATCTCGAATCGAGTCGGATCATTTGCACCCCTATTCAAAGGTGTTAACAGTCATTTAAAACATTAAGTTTGAGGGCATTAATGGCATTTGAAAGGGAATCTTAAAATTATAAAATGTAGTCCCTACTTTAAACTCAAAAGGCAGAAGCCAGAAGCCTATAAAAAAAATCGCTTCTGCTTATCCGTCAAAATAGCTTAAATTTATTGATAAGGCTCAGTTTGGAAAGAATACAACAAATACATAGGATTGTCAATGGGTCAGGTCGGGTTTGGGTCCAAGTAGAACCAGTCTCAAACTGATTATTAATTAGGAGAAAATCACAGACCCAGAACTGTCCCGGTTAATAGTTGGGTCTATTAGGTCCAGACCCAATAAACCCGATTAGACTGAAAACTATATTTGTTTATTTAAATAATATCTTAAATTTTAAATTTTTGATGATATAGTCTTAATAAAAATAATGAAAAATATTAAATGATTTATATGTTAATAAATTAAACATTTTTAACTAATATTATTTATTATTTATCAAATTCATCGTTTCAAATATAAAATATGATAAAAATTAAGAAAATATTATATATATAATAAAATAATCAGTTCCGGATCTAAATTGATTTGAGACATACAAAAATCCAAAATTAACCTAATTATTAATTGGGACAAATTAATGGAACCAAACCATTATATTTGGTTTGGTCCATTAAGGTCCATCGGATTGACCCGACCCATTAATAGCCCTACAAATACAAATATCTACATTGCAATTCCAAAGTCCAAATTGAGCCTAAAGAGAAGCTAGAGCCGACGTGCCAAATGATATTAATTGGGCATTTGTCCTCTTAAACGCAAAAAGCTTGAAAAACCCAATGGGCCAAACTGAGTTTTGGTGGAGTTCGGTTCTCGTGTTTTCGTGGGCTCAGGCTTTGCTCGGCAAGGTTTAGATTGGTTTCTGCCTTTCTGGCTTCAGGCGATCAAACTTTATTGGGCTTCTCCTGTCCAAAATGTGTGGATAAGAACAATGGTATCTATTTGTCGGAATTTGAATTCAAACAAGATCCGATCCAAATTCAATCCGTTTTTAGTGGCATCAAATGTGGGTATGCCCCATTTCAATCCGAATTCAGGTTGAAGATCGGGTTGGGTTAGGGTTGGATTTGAGATTTTAACACGTTGGTTGAGCTAAGGTTGGCTTCAACTTGAGCCAATCCGGCCTATGTTGCACCCCTAACTCAGTATTGAAGTAAGTTTTGCACTGTACCATGGTAAGGTCTGAGCCTGCACCATTTGTTATTAGTAGGGGTGTTCACGATTTGGGTTGGTTCGTTTTGAAGCTATTTGGTCAATTAAACCGACCTGGTGGGGTTGGGGAGTTGGTCACCTGAAACTGATAAACCGTTATTGAAAATCAGCTAATTTGGGTTGATTGGTTTATTGGTTTGGTTAATTGGTTCAAAGGTTTAAATTAAAAAAAAAAATTGCAACAATATTACTAAAAATTTAAATTTAATATATATATATATATATATATATAATTTAATATATATACACAACTAAACCGAAACCAACCCGACCTCTCGAGTTAGCATAATAGCTGAACCAAAGCCAACCAAAAATACTAGAAAACTGACCAACTCAAGTCAAGTTGGGTCAGGTTGATCAGTATGGTCGGTTTCATCAGTTTGATGAACAACTCTAATTCTTAGAGCAATGCTAGAAATACGGTTCTTCATCAGCCTGCTTCTATAAATGCAAAATTAGCCTAAGGTGAGCAGGTTTGAATATGATATCAAAAAGAGATTGGAAGGGCTCAAGCGATTGATATGAAGAAAGAATTTGAAAAATAAATGTTTTGGTCCGAAGACCAAAGTAACTGCATGGGTATATTTTACATTTAGGCAAGGTTCAAAATATCGATACGCCCGATATGCCAATAGGGGTGTATCGGGTGAATCGATACACATTTTGGTCCCGTTTTTTTTTTTCGCAACCAGTTCAGGGGGGCTGGTTTAGGTCTCCTCTACCCCCCGAACCGGTCAGATCTCTGATACATCCACTGTAGGGGCGTATCGGAGGGGGCCAGGAACGATACGTATTGGCCGATATGAACCGATACGTGTCGATACTTTGAACCTTGCATTTAGGGGAGGTGATTGCAATTACCAAACTTTAAGAAAAGTTTTAGCAACAGTCCAAATCTTTAAGGGGGATTTTAGCAATTCCCAAATTAATATGTAGTTATAAAAAGTTGTTGAAACATGGCATGCGAGAAATTCAGTCATATTAGGCAAATTTAAATTGAGATAATTACCTTAATTATAGAAGTTGATTAGGGATTAATACTTGAATATATAAAAGTTAATGAGATAAATTACGAGTGTGAAACAATTTTTGACATTTATTGTCTCTCAACCGAAGAGAAAATTTTAATAAACTTTAATATTTATTAACAAACATCCACAGAGAAAAGAAAAGGTTTTAGAAGTTAAGATTCCAAATCCAAGTAATTGAAGCATGAAGGCCAAGATTCAAATCTTATTGTAGTTTTTTATACCAAAAAGGCAAAAATTATTAGCAATTATAGGAATTTTGGATTTGTAGTCTTTCAACTGAAGATCAAGATTTAAATCTTATTACTTGTAGTTTTTATACCAAAAAAGTACTAGCAATTATGGGAATTTAATGAATTAGACAAATTTGAATTTAATGGCTGCAGATCCTTTCATCTCACAACCCTCGGCTGTGTAAAGTAGAAATTTAATGCATCCGGTTTAAACCATCCATTTGATAACTCATGTCATGTAGCTAGTAATTGCAATATAAGAGTTCGCTCAGTTTTGGCATCTCACCAAAAGAATAGAAAAAAGAAAAAAAAGAAACAATATTTTGCCTGGTAGTAATGCTCATAAGAGTCACCTGAGACAAGATTCTGTGCACATTTGACATTTGTCTTGGAAGGATCACAAGAAAGACCTGTCGAGTGTCAACTAGAAAAACAGAAAATTGGACCCCATGACTTTTTCCCATTTGGTGGAAACTTTTTTTTATCAGTAATCAGTAATCAATTCATTAACTTAATCAGGAAAAGACTCATTTAATGGGAACGTTAACAAACACAAGCAAATTTATGAAGAAATTAAACCTTCCCATTAGGAATACCAACGTTTCTAACAGGACCCTTGAACCATTTCCTTGCATCCAGAAACCACCAAAGCATTATTAAACCCAAACTTACACCCAATGCCACAGGTGCATAGTTAAATGTGTTCCAGGTGATGGGATAGAAAGTCGGCAATAAGAAGACTGAACAGGTATAACAGATCCACAAGAAGGCTATCAAGCAAATTGGCCTTCTTGCTTTGCCCAGATAAAATGGCMCTGGYTTGAAGTTCTTCTCAGCCATGACCATCCTTGCAAAAATTGGAACAGCATATCCACCAACCCATCCTATTGTGCATATGGAAGTTATTGCAGTGAAGACCACATTAACTTTCAATATAGGTAGTCCAAGAAGAATGCAGATGGYTGCACACAGCCACACTGCATTCGCTGGAACCTTGTGTTTCGGATGCACTCTTCTCCAGATGGATGAAAATGGAACTCCCTGATCTCTTGATAGAGCATATACCTGAAACATGCCATTGTGAAATGTTGGTGAGATGTCAAATTCATTCAATAAGTAGTATTAGATTAAAAGTCATTCAGAAGCATCATGGTCTTCTAACAGGAGAAATAGTTTACATCTTTCCAAAATAAGAATACTCAAAATGATGTACAAGTACATATAAAGAAAATAATGTCAGACAATCAATTGACTGAATTGAAAAGACCATGACAATAATTTTTTTAACTTCCATTCTTTCTGCTTAAACTAAAGTACTTTTAAGGTCAACATCAAGGCCAATGAAAATAAGATGTGCATTATGGAGAAATTGGTTTTCAGATCAGGAATTATATTCAGGACTGGACTGTCATGGTTTTTTATAGGACTAGTTCCAAAAGCAAAGGTATAAACAACCTAGTAAGGTAAAGAGATAATTTACTTACTACTCTGGCTGCACTAGTAGTAATTGAAAGGCCACCAAAGAAGAAGGATCCCCAGATAACAAAGAGTAAAACTATTGCTCCTGTGGCATTATGGTACCTCCCATGAAATGCATCATAAAGTATCTGGGCTGGTACAAATGCTCCAGCAGTTTCATTGTTTACATCATATAAGTAGCTTGGATCCTGGATTGAAAATAGCAATCCTGTATCAGATATGGAAAACAATAATTGGATATTAATTCAGAAATAATACCTGAATGCTGAAAGTAAGAGCCAATATGTATGCCCATCCAAACAATGAAATGATCCCTATACTAGAAAGGATTGCAATTGGACCATTCTTGTCTGCACCCTTTGTTTCTTCTGTGAGATGAGCTGCAGCATCATATCCATATAGAGAGTACTGACTAACAAGAACAGATAGAATGATTGCATATACACTGTTTGTTATCCCGGTAGACTCAGATATCTCAAAATGAGTGAACACATAGGAAGCAGACTGTGTAGTCAGTGACACAAGGGGAAGCATTATAACTATAACCAAACCTCCAATAACCTGTCAAGGAAGCAATACAATTTTTAAATGTTACACTATCAGCTGGATGTTGCTGGAAATAACTTATCACAAATCACTTAAAAATTAAAAGAAAGACAAAGAAAAGAAAAGAAGAATCACCCATATATATAGTGATTGTATCATACTTCTACACCACTTGTACATTACAGATTATGTTCATTTCTTAAGCAATGTCTGCCTACTGTCTACACACTTGAAAATCTAATATTTTATAGCATGTGAATCATTAAGTAAAAAATAGACAGATAAAGTATGCAAAAGAATTAAAGCTAAAATGTACCTGCCACCATATTGAGATTATGTCAATAAAGGCAATAACTTCTAATGCAAATGTGTTGAGAAATGCCCATATAACTGTGAGGCCCATGTACATGCATAGGAATAACCATCGAGGAGTAAAATACCCTCCATCCTTGTTTGTACCAGTACATAGTAAAATAATACTTTGCAGGGTTTGTGATCCTGCATAAGCCTACACACGCAGAAATAGTTGAAATCAAAAACAAATTTCTGACACAAAATTAACTTTGTGAAAGCTTTATTACTAAAAGAGCATTTGTATACTGCATAGGAAAAACTGAAAGCAGTATACTTTCATTACTAGGGAAAGAAATTAATTTGCAACAGATAGAACTCTAATATGTAATATGAAGTCTCTGTACCTGTGTACCTATGCCAGCAATAAGGCCAATTGTTTCCAGCCATGCACAGCACCATGATGCAAATGGACCCCATTTGGGGCCAGCTAAATGGGCAGCCCAGAAATAAAGAGAGCCAGTAGTCTGTTTAATTTAAAAATAGGTGCATGTTAGTTTGATAGTATTTAACCGAAAAAAAAAAAAAGATTTTTTTTCATGTTAAAACAAGCATATATCTGTTTAACCCATATGTTCTGTGCAGTGAATGCCAAAACATATTGAGAAAGAACTATTCCAAAAGACTGGAATTTCAGCATCAAAACTGCATAGCATATATTACTGTTTTTAAATCCAAGTTAGAACAAATTTTTGCTTTCAATTCTGAAGGCATTTTTGGTAAAAGCACCTGGAAAGAAACGTAAATTGGAAAGCAAGCTCATCAATCACCAGTTTTGCAACATTTTCTCAAAAGCATCAATGACTAGCCATCTAAAGTATTAAACATATTAAAAATAATGATATACAACAAAAAATTAAAAAAAAAATAAAAAGAAAACAAAGATCCCCTGAAGCTATCAGCTGAAAACATCTACCAGGAACTAAAAGAGAAATACAGAGAACTTAAGAAAGAAACTTGAACGATAAGAAAGGGAGGATGCTTGGAGTCATTTAAATGCATCTTTCTTTTAGAAGCTAATATTGTATTTTATACCAAGTCCAACAAAAGGACTGATTACTCAAAATCTATTTCAAGTGGTATAAACTGGATGTTTCAGATTTTAGGGTCAGAAAGGGATATATAAAGAGTTCGTGTTCATTACCAAAAGGAAAATTTTATTAACCTGATCAATCTTATTTTAACTAAATACATTCTGCTGCAATGAAAATAAGGAACTAAACATTAATTACAATATATTTTGACCCAGTCCTTTCCAAGATACTCACTTTTCCATGTCAATTCACTTAACAGATATATGTAAAGAAATGTTCTTACATCTCATAGACATTTTTCAAGTAATTGAAGAATAATAAAATGACGTTAATGAAATATTGTTTCTGACCCACAAACAGAACCCGATTTCTACCTATCATATTCTGTATAGATCTAATTTCCAAGATCTAAATCCTTTCTGGACCACCAAATTTATGTTATGCTTCTAAAACCTTTTTGTCAGTAATGGAACATGGACCAAATCTATAAAACAGGACTTCTTCCGAGAGAATATTTGCACCATAGTTTAATCACTGTGAAATTAAGGAAAATTAGAGAAATCAAACAAGAACCCAGAAAACCAGAAAGGAGGAGAAGCAAGCGAATGCTTATCTATGGCAGTCAGTTCAAAAGACAAAAGCATACGCACCGGGAAAGAGGAGCAGATTTCTGCCATTGCTATCCCAACGAACCAGGTGAAGAATGATACCACCACCCATCCCCACACAAGACTAGCCGGCCCTGCATAGAGCAGGCTCGAACCATACAAGGGAGTTATCCCAGTAAAAAGGGTCATGGTGGAAAATGAAATCGCAAGCGTCTTGAATAGAGTCTGCAGCAATCCAAGAAGAACCCAAAGAACAAAACTGATCAATTTGAAGCAAAAAGAAATAAGAACCCATTTAGATCAATCTAAAACTGAAAGAAACACAAAGAAGAAAAACGAAAATCTGAGAAACAGATCAAGCAAGAACAAAGGAATCAATACAACAGTGAGCAACGACAACCAAAAAACTTGAAAAGAAGGAACGGAAAAAGGCAGTGCTGGGTACCATCTCTCTTCTAAGTTCTTGCTTGTACCCCAGCTCATTTAGACGCTTCTCTCCCGTATCCATTTCGGGAGCTTCTGGTGTTTGATACCCCATGAGATGCGATCTAAGCGTACCTTCCAACTGTTCCACCTCAAAGATGAAACAGAACTGTTATCCCCTGAAAGCCCTGAACAGGGTTCTTGAAGAAAAATTCAGAGAGAGAGAAAGGATTTGGAGCATGGACTAGAGTCTAGAGATTAAAAAATTGTAATATCTGTTTCATCTGCATGGTGGTCAAACTCCCAAAGAGTCCAACTCTAACGAACCAACACGCTATCGCTGTTCGCTTTTGACCTTTTGACATGTTTGATCTCGTTGCTGGTGAGGATAACCCCATGCAAGCAGACGACGACTTATTAATCCAGTGTTCCCACTTTTTCTGTAGTCTCTGTACTAGGGTTCCCACTTGCTTCAAAATCACTTATCTGTCTTCTTCCCAAATAGTCAAATACCCGCCGGCCACCATCTGAAATGGAGGGAAATGAGAAGGGAATTGTAAATGGAATAGCCCCAGGAATTAAGGAAGGGTGCAAGCTGGGATCTAGCCAACTTGAGTGGTGGCTCGGTTGGCGCGTAATATGGGTAGTCTCAGGCGAGAAGAATTATTACTGTTGCTAGAAACTAAAAATTAAAAAAAAAAAAAAAACTGCGATCTAGGATTTTCTTAACAGAAAAGCAAAAAGGGTGGCGGAAATCGGCACCCATTTTTTAGAAATATCCCCAAATCCTCCCAACTTAGCATTTTTCCTGTTTCTGAGTTCTGCTAGAATACAAAATTAGACCCAAAGATGGAATAGAAAGATTTACAATTATGTTTGTCCCTTCCCTTTCTGACACAAAACAGCCGATGGTCACCTGCCCTATACTTTGCAATTGGTTTATTTAATCGTGAAAAGGGTCAATCAATAAATGCTCTTATAGTTTTATAGATTTACCAAAACCTACTTATAATTTGTTGATTTAATTCGACTTAAAACATACCTTCAGTTTTTTAAATAGATTTAAATATACTTTTATTTGATAAAACATTGTATACTTCTTTATAAATTTCTTTTAATATTCAAAAATTGTCTTTTTACCCTTTATAAACACTAAGCCTCTTTAAAAGAATATACCTTCTTTCTTGCTCTATTTCTACAACTGCAATACAACTTGATTACCCCATTTTTCAGCTGCATTGATTCCTGTGATATAAGATATGCAGGGTGCTGGTTTTGCATTTGCTATGATTTTGAAGATTTGGCTCGTTAATCAGATTGCATTAGGGACACTGGATTGGTTTTATGGCTTTGCTTGTGCATCAGTTATGTTTGGTATCAAACTTTGGTAATATACTTACATGGGTTCAATTATGATAATGGAAATGATATGATATCTGAAAAATAATTGACCAATAAAGTGGAATCAGGTATTATTTATCAAAATTCATGGGTAGGTTTTGATTGGTCAAAACTCTTTTCATGCCATATCTTTTCTATATCATAGATTTTGGTGATCTTGTAAAAAGTAAAAACAGGGTCTTGCCTTGCTGTTATAGTTGTTTCAGTCATGATAGAAATCCTATTTTTTTTCTGTTTTTTTTTTTTTTTTTCTTTTTGGAGGTTCAGGCAATTGTTTACATTTCACACTAGCAGCAAACAAATAGACAATGTTTGGTTTGAAGGAAAAGGTAGGGAAAGGAAGGAAAAGGTAAGGAAATCTATACAAGGTTTGTAAAGATTTTCCTACCTTTCCCTTCTTTTCCCTACTTTTTCCTTCAAACCAAACATAGCCATAGAGCTTGAGGTTTGAACGACTTCAAAGTAAATTGTAACTAATGAAAATGGATATTTGAGATTTTTTTTTTTTTATTTCTTTCTGATTCCAGTTCTCTGTTGGCTTTCATTGAAAATTTGAAAAATAATGAAGGGTAAAAAGGTCTTTTAGTTGATTCTGTAAAATCTAACATCCATAAGGTATATTTAAATCTATTTTAAAAACTTAGGGTATGTTTAAGTCAATTTATGAAAATTGAAGGTATATTTAAGTATTTTACCCTTGTTTAATTGACCTTCTAACCGTTTGTATGGATGTCTAGGGCTCTAGTCAGCAAAATCCTAATCCATTACTTAAAACTTGCATGTAGATCTCATTTGACATTCCATCGAATTTTAAGACCTTGGATTAGAATTTGAATCCCAATGCACTGAGATCCAACTAAGCTTTAATTTTTTAAAATATAAGAAGACTAAAAGTTAATTATTTTTTAATTATTATATAATAAAGTAATGTAAATATAAGATACTGAATTTGTTATACATAAATTGATATAAACATAATATATAAAAACATCTTTTATAATTTTAAATATAATTATATAAAATTTATATATTAAATTTAACAAATATTATAATATAATTGGATTCAGATTTTAACCTGATTGGATTGAGTCAAATTCAAATCTGACCCAATTATTAATCAGAGGTATATTGTAAAATCCAACTCCAATATGATTACAAAAACACATCATCCGAATTCAAGATAACCACATCGAATGTCAAATCAAGCCATGGCTTTTCGGGTATCATTGACAGGCTTATGGACATTCAGAAATGGTCCCCTGAACACTTAACCCAAGTGGAAAATGCTTAAGGGTAAGGGGCCACGATTATTCATTTCGAAAAGACCCCTAACATTATATTAAACTTTTACAAAAGAAAAACAAATGTTTGGTTTCAACTAAATGAAAAAGAGAGAATAATGGCATATGGGTTCTTCATCTACTATAGCATGTCTTCTTTCTTAGAATAAAGAACGAAGGTGATTTGAATATCGTGATTGTGGGTGTTCTACCAAGGGCAAGAACAACATTTCCAATATTATTTCCTTTTAGTTAATTTTCTTTGAACAAATGTTATGATCAAAATGGTCATTTTACATTTCTATCTAACAAAGAATTGATTAAATAAATCAAGGGTCATTTACTAAAACACCCCATATAGTTTCATGGATTTACTAAAACCAACCCTATAGTTTGTGTTTTACTAAAACACCCATGTAGTTTGTAGTCAACTTACTCAATTGGCCTTCCATTAGATGATAGTAGAAAATGACAATTTTGACCCTAATGCCCCATTGAATAAATTTAATCAAAAGAAAATAAAAATTAAAGCATCATCTTCCCCTAATAAAGCACAAGAAACCACTATATTTGGCTCTCTTTGGTCCTTTTTTTTCTCTGTAGGAAGAAGTGTAAGGGGTGCTTTTGGAATAAACAATCATGGGCCCATGTCCATGAACATTTTTCCACTCATTTTAGGTAATAATGTTACTATTTTTAGATGGAAAAACAAACACCTCTTAGTGAAATAAGTAAATAGGTTGCAAACTTTAAGGGCATTTTAATAAAACAAATCAATTGCAAACTATATGGGTGTTTTTGTAAACGACCCATGTAAAAACGTATAAGAAACAAATATCTTAAGTTAACTCTCTTTTATGGGTTTCCGATTTTCATTATAAATTGTCAATGACAAATATACATTTGTATAGATTAATTTGCAATAAGTTTATCATTAACATAAGCAATATATCATATGATTATGGATGCATTAATTATGAATATTAATTTAAAATAGCCGGCTCATGACCTCATGGCCCTCATGTGCATTTTCATTTTGTATACAAATGCATGTGTTGCTTGTGTGTTTATTATATATATTAAGTTATATGTAAATGCATATTCATTATATTGATTGCAATGTATTATTTCATAAGTATGTGTTTCTTATGTTATAATCAATTGAGCTATAGAATTTGCATTATTGACACAATGGGAAGATTTATTTGGATTTGAAGGTGTTGAGTATGGCTAACTCAATTCTAAGGTCTTTGCGTGGTGATTTGGGATCAATTCCCACCTTCACCCATGTTGGGGGGTTATGGGAATCTCCCAATACTTTGACCTTGTTTCACCCATTAACTAGGCATAGACTTAGGGTGTTTTGAGCTGGGAACTGTAGCACTACAGCTGTGCTGTATATGAGAACACCTTCCATATTTACATGTTACCATTTATGGAGAAATGTCCCCAATGTCTAGCTGTAGTGTTTTGTGGGTAGGTGTGGATACTATTCTTGTGGAAAGAAGACTTGGATTAGTTTTTCAGTACTGTGGTTTTGAAAAAGATATGGAGAAGTACGGGTTTGTCCAATACAAATTGAATTGACATTAATTTCAAGTCAATACATACCCCAACAGTACTTTGAGCCTATAAATTCTGACCCTGGACTGATGGGTCATTCTCCCAAAAAGATAATGGGACCTCCCAGCAGTTAGGGTTGCAAGTCTGTGTCTATCTCTCTGAGGTACACAATAGGGATAGCCTTCCCCAACACTAGTGAAGGCAGGACTCAGATCCTAAATATTCACTAGAACCAGCTAGAGAATCTACCACAGGCGGCAGATTAATCGATTAGGATTGCAAGTCAGGTTGTTTAATTTGAGGAATTTCAACTATATTAAAATCGGGTTAGGGTTTAAGCGCCCATTGAAAATTTAACAAATACTCAATCCATCCCAACTCAAATTACACCCCTGCTCTTAGCATCCCATAAAAAGTAATAATACGATAGGTAATGAGGTATTAAAAAAATCCTTATTATACATTTATAAATATAAATATAATATATATATATATATATGTTATTTATTTATTTATAATATATTTTTATAAATTTATTTTTTTTATAAAAAAGCATGTATCTATATGATGAAAGTAATTAAAAATATTTATATTTTTGTTTTATTTTATTTAAATTACTATATTTTATTTTTCTTTTATTAATTTTTAAAGAAAACAAGTCGAATCGGATCAGATCTGAAGACCTGAGTTACTGATAGGATTTGAATTCAAATATAGTCTATTAGATTCGATCTGATCGGATCCTACATGAACAATGTCAAATCATATTAGAATATACTCTGATTCGAATCCGATCTGATCCATTTGCATCCCTACTCTTCATCAAACCAACTTCTTTGTAATGTATAAAATATTACATTTATATGTAAATTTTAAAAAACACTACCAGATTAGCAACCTTTTCTATGATACCAGTTAATCGAACCCTAACAGACATAATGCATTTAAAATCATAGACCTGAAACCTGGGCCGGCCCAGCCCAGACCTGTGCTAGAGTCCAAACATACGTGCTAATTCAATCCCGGCCCATGATTAACACTGTATGGGGATAGTCCTGCACCTCAATGGAATCTACATAACACCCATACCCTCCACTGAGGCCTCCTAGCTAAAGGCTGCAAGTATTGATTGAAGAATTTCTACATGGGCCGGGTCAGGAATTTTCTTAATGCAAAGTTTGCATAACAATTTAGGCCCATAAAAAAATTTAACGAATTCTCAACAAGGGCGGAGCCAGAAAATTGTTACAAGGGAGGACAAAACATAAATTAAGTATGGATGAGCCCATGGGGGGAGGGAACCATTAAAATGGAGAGTGGGGGAGGAGAAAATTTACATGAAAAATTGTATTACAGTGGGGATTTTCTGAACCATAGGGGGGACCATGGCTCCCCTGGATCCCCCT